CCGGTTTAATTTTTTTACGTTACACGCCAGATCCTGATTTTAATTGGCCAATTGACCTCAGAAAATCACGTGAATCACGTGAACGGAAAACCCTGTTCACGCCCTTTTCTTAAAAATGTTTAGGCTCATTTTTGTTTTTAACTTACAGGGTTTGTAAAAACAAAAAATACATTAATTTTAGATCAAATCTTATTTCTTTTTCTTGTAAATTTCTATATAAAAATTAGTTAAACCCTGTAAAGGAAAATGCTTTTATTTGCTAGATAATGGGATTTCGTAAAATTGAAGTATTTACAGAGTTTTGGTTTAAGAGGGGAACATAAAGTATATGTTTATTCTAATATTTAATATTTTACATAAAAAAGAAAATTGATAAAATACAGACTATTAAGACCAAAGTGTATAGATACTATATATGTGTATATATATATATATAAGGTAATATTAATTATTTCTTGGTCTAAGATAAACTTTTAATTCGTCACATTCATTTGACCAAATGTAGCTTTTCTTTAATGGAGCATCTGGTTCAACTAAATTAACTGTATAATTTTTAAAAATTAAAGCGATTAAAGTTTTAGCGGAATTTAGACCCATTTGACGTCCAGGACATATCCTAATTCCACCACCAAATGGCATATAACTAATTTTATCAATATTGTTATTATCAAGGAAACGTTCAGGTTTAAATGACTCTGGATCAGGCCAATAAGTTTCATCATGATGAACATAATGATAATTGATAAAGAATTCTTGACCACCTTTAATTTTAAAATCGCCGAGATTGTCATCATTATTTGCTTGTTTAAAGATTACTGGGACCGTTGGCAACATGCGCATAGATTCACTAATACAAGCTTCGATGTAAGTCAACTTTTCTAAATCTTCGTATTTCATTGGACTGGATCTATCATTGCCCAAAACCCGATCGACTTCTTCATAAACTTTTGATTTTATATCAGGATATTTACAGATGTGATATAGTGCAATCAAAGCGGTATGGGAAGACTACGTAATAAATAAGATTAAGTTAATAGGGACAGGCACGTGATTAATTTTAAATCATAAAAATTTTGTATATTTACCGAATCAATGCTAGCAATAATAACATCATACAAATTTTGTTTAATATCATCATCACCCATGGGTTCGTCAGGTTCATCACCCGGTTTATTAAATTGAGGACCCCTTTCCGTGTTTGCACAGATTAATAAAGTTAAAATATCAAGATTTAAAACTTGATCTTTAGGAATATTTGCAATTTCTTTTCTTCTATTAACTATAAGATCGGTTAAATAATTATTCAACCATTGAATATTTTTCTCATGTTTCCATTGAAAGTAATAAAACGGTGGGCAATATCTTAGATATTTCGGTAAAAAATAAACAAATTGGGAAGTTACTAGCCAAATTCGAATTCTGTTTATTAATTCCTCAACTGGACTGATCTTTGAATTCTTTGACGAAAGACGATTATAATAAGAAGATAAAGTGTATGCAGGTCTACCAGTAGTTGTACGGGAAGATAATTCAGACAAGATTCGGACGATCCACTTGGATAAATCTAATTCCTCATTTTTATTTACATTCAGTAAATTACCGATATACCCATCAAACTCTTCGAAAATCAGTTCAGTATTTTTTAAAAATTGTCTTAAGAATGAAGGCAAAGCAACAGCTTGAGATAAAATCCTTCTATTATATTTCCAAGAGTCTAAATTACGATTAAAGAAAATTCCTTTTCCAATTGTTTTGATTCCGATCTCATCGACCCATGGTTTTCTAGATCGAAATGAAAAGTTTGTTTTCGTTGATGGAATATGTATCTTTTTGATAAGTTTTGCATCACCTATCCAGATTATACGCTCTGGACCATTATATACTTCGTAAAGCCCACCATATTTTTTCTGAAGATTGAAGAATAAAGTATCTAAGTCTCCATAATACATATAAATGTTACCTAATAAATGATGAATTTGCTAATATTAGATAAGAAAGAAACGAAAGAAATGATTGTAATAAATATATACCAATTAATGGAAGAGGAAATGGTCCTGGTAGAGGATTATATCGAGTAAAATAGAAATAGTAAAAGTTAGCAATATAAACTAAGATTAAGAACAATAAGATTGTTAACCAATCTTGGGGTACCGAATATAAGATTGTGTAGATAAAAGAACCCATTATTGTCAATTTTTAACAATTTTTTTATCAAGATTTGTTACTTTAAAT